GTCTCTGGAAGTAATCCTGCTGCCGGCACCACCGAGGTCGAGGAATATAGGATGAAAATACCTGGAGTTAGAGAGGTCTTACTCTCGTCTCTCACCCTCTTTCCCACCTCTTCGCCGCGGTGTCTGCCTTCTCGCTAGACCGTCGCCCCAAATAAGACAGAAGTCGTCATATAATTCCACGGCTAATGCTCGTTCCCCATTAAGACCCATCTCACAGGCGATTATTCGCTTATACACCGTCAGCCAGATAATACACGCTCGTTTATCGGATGTTTGTGCCTCTGGTTACATCTTCATCTATCCGGGATTAAATTCTCAACATTCTTCGAGCGCCAGATGACGAAGAACGACAGCCCGGTGAATATTTGTGACGTGGAAGTTGAGACAAGTTGATCGACGATTTGACAAGAATGCCTGCGGACGAAACGACTGGAAATTTCGGCAGGAAGAACGAACGAGAAAGTTTAATACCGACGACATCTCGCGAGCATCACCGCCACGAGGACATTGTGTCACAGTTGCTGAGAACGGCTCTCACGTTTACGATTGGCAATAGTGAGAAAGCTAGCACAATATCGCTCGATTATTCCGTTAGACTCTCGGAAAGTTACCTTGAAACGTGAGAACTTTTCTACGGGCTAAAGGATTTCCATGAACTTTTAATGCTTCGTCGGCCGTTACGAGGAGTAGGTACCCTCGTAGCGCGAAATAATGCGATGAAGAATCAATTTTAATGCGCACGCACTTTGCACGGAAGTTGTTAAAAAGCAATATTAAATCATTCGATTTCACTCGACTTGTTTCGACAACCTGTGTACGTACGCGTACTTACTTGCGCAGGAAAGGAATAAATAGAGCTTCTTTTTTTCTCTTTTCAAGCCAGTCGGGATAAATTAATTAAGAACTAACGACGCAATCGTGGCTCGGTAACACCCACTTGGCTGGAACACATCGTTGGGGACTCTCGAGATGGAGAAAAGCAAATACCTTCGAGGGGGTGGCTGCTGGCAGCTCGGTCGAGGGGAATGGGTAGCGGAAGAACGAGAAAGAATTCCGTCACGATCTCGTCTGCGCTTGCTTTGTCCCCTGCTTTGATTTCTTCTCTTCGGTGCTCCACAAACGACAGAGAGGAAGCGAAAGAGAGACGGCCGTGGAGACACGAAACGGAGAGACACAGACATCAAGAGAAAGATAGAGAGAGAAAGAGGCTTTAGCTGGTTCGGTACCGGGAGAGTGAACGATATTTACATGCGATTTGCATACTAGTTGATCCCTATTGCTTCCATCTCCAACGAGCCAGCAGGGGCGGCGGACCTACACCCGAACCCTCCGTCATGCCGCGCCCTCCTCCTCCTCCTCCTCCTCCTCCTCCTCCTCCACCTCCGCCTCTTCCTCGTCCTCTCGTTTCACGATTCCACGAGTTTTCATCTCTATCTGTGCTCCTCTCGCCACCACGAGTATCTCCGTGGAGAAGCAGGAGTTCGCACGTTCTCGTGGAACCGCGTAAGCGAAACCCTTAACGCTAAAGCGAAGGCATCCGACGTTCTTCGAATCCTCCTGCTCGTTATCATCGTATGCCTTAATGAAGTGTCCTCTTTCCTCCCTGTCTCCTCTCGCGCGTGCATCCTCCTTCGTAAATAATCTCCTCAAGATTGTACGAATAACTTTATTCGATGGTACCTACATATTTCGAGGAAATAGCAAATTCAATGGGATCGTCGAGGAATCAACGTGTTAATACATGCAATTGGGGAATACGAGAAGGCTAGATAAAGGAAACGAAGGAAAAAGGGATCGTTTGGTGGCGAGAGGAAGAAATCTGGCAAAGGTGTATCTGGTGGATTAAAGGTGGCTGCCAGAGAGGCGTAATCAGGTCATATAAATGTGGCTGGCTAATTGCAGATAGTCTGTTCCGCGTTAAGAAGCCCGCAGAAAGGTAAGACACACCACGGTGGTCTTACGTCTCCTGACGGACGGTGAGGAGGAAAGGGAAGGGGGTGGAGGCTTCCTGCTTTCCTATCTTGCTACCAAATGGGGAAGCCAAATTAGCCGGGATAATCGAGTCGGGTGGAGAGAAAGGTGGAACGGAACGAGGGTAAAGTTACCAACTGGTGTAGTCCAAGTTCTTGTTTTCTTCGACGACCACGACGACGACGACGACGACGACGTTCGAATCAGCCAGGAAGCGAATGCACGAAAAGCTTGGTTACTTGGCGCGATACAGGGAGAGAGAGTAGAGTAGCCTGGCGGGGTCCTCTCGATAGAAGCGAAAGACTTCGTTTCCTGTGAGGGGCTTAATTAAACGGCGTGAGAAAGAGAAGAAAGTTTCGTGTGTATCGGGGACCAAAGGTTCTAAGCACGATTCCATCGTGTTCGGTATCCCATTTTTCGTCGGGAAGGGGGTTAGAGGGAGAACCAAGGAGAAGGGGATGAGAATCTTTTAAGAAAACCGAGCACGGGTCCATCCAGGAGCGGAGAACCGATTGATATCTGAGCATGCTGCCACGTGAGCTACCCGAAGCACAGCGTCTAATTAACTCCGTGACTGGCTGACCCCAGGTGACCCTGGACTCTCGTTGCATGCTTCGATGGCGCCTGTGTGCTTGCACATACACGCTGCAGTCTACGTGCACACGTGTTGCATCGGCTCGCACACCTAACGGGCCCGCTATTCCATCGTACGATAGAGACATCATCGTGCCACCGACCCGCTCTACACGTTAACCTTATACGGTCCTGAACCGCAGAAGAAGAGGAGAAACCCTTCCTCCTGCGCGCATCCCTGCTGCACGAACGCGCCACGATGCACGAATTCTTCGTGCCTGATGCCGCGCATCCTTCCAAACCTGAACGATCACGAAAAATCGCTGTTCCCTCGATACCGTGAAAACCACGCATCTCGATCCAACTATCCAGTTGTCATTTTTTCGCAGTCGAACTTTACCAATTTTTCGACTGTCTTCGATTTATCAGACCGGCGCGGCAGCGGACACAAAAGTCAGAAGCGATCGAGAGTCGAGAGAGAAAGATCGTGCAGGCCCGGTTTTTCACACGGCCTCGTGTAAAACGTGCCACCGTGCCGTCGAAGAGATAGACGTACCACCGATGCCCCCGGTGTTTCGTTAATTAAAATGAACGAACGAGAACGAACTGGTTAATTTTATGCGAGTGGCGAATCGGGCCGGCGTGCATGGCTTTCCCATTACCGCGCCCACCTCCCCCCAGCCTCGATTGGTCATTGGTGTCACAAACGATCATGCTCTGCTCCTCTGCCACCGTCATCGCTGAATATTGACGTTGCTCCCTTCTTCCCTGCATGGAAATCCGGCTGTGCTCTTCTCGTTCGAATATTTTAAACACGTTCGAACATTATTTGTCGCTATCTTTTTGCACGAGCTCTCTTCTTACTCGAGAGGATAAATACCGATGAAAAAGGCAAATACTTATACATTCCGGGTGGAAGCTTATCTCTTGCCGGAGAAGGTTCTCCGCGTGAAATTCTCGATAGCGCCGCGACGTCGAGACACTGATTCATTTTACTTAAGCCGAGAAAACGCAGGCAGAAGCGGCGTTTAATGTGGCCAGAAACAGTGATACACTGTTTATTGCCGACAGACGCCTGGAATTTTGAGCAGGCACGACGAATACGCTGTTTTATTTCATAGCAGCACCGCAACTATCCCTCCCGGTTGCTCTCCGCCGTAACGGCGAATAAATTTTAATGAACGTCAAAGGAAAAAAGTAAACAGCCGCGGATTTTCACGGGGGTTTTAATGGAAAGAAATTTACACCGTTTAAAATCCTCCAACTATGATTACCTTCTGCTACGTTTAAAACGACGTCGATCGAGAGTAAAATAAGTTTCGCGACGGGGTAGCGTGCATGGAAACGGGGGGAAAAATAGAAAGAGAGAAAGAGAGGAAAGGGTGCGTCGTTTCGCGTGAAATTTGAATCAAGCCCGGAAATGTTTGTCGACTCTCGGAATGGCGCGTAGCGAGCGCGTCACTCGTATTTTTCGGAGGAATAAAAATTTTGTTAGCCGCTAGACCGAGCGATTTCAAAATTCCGATCGGCCGCGGCCGAGGGAAACGCGGACGCGGACAGAACGTAGAGGGGGTGGATCCAGCGTGGAAAACAGGGTGTGGCGCGTGAGAGCTGGCTCACCTGAAACAACACAACGTTTTCAGATCGCTGATCCCATAAGCGTCCACGTTTGATCCCTCTGTTGTTTTGCAAACGCGTCCGCCCTGCCTCCTCCCGGTTAATTCACGAAAAACTCCAGTCGCATTCCTTCGACTCCAAACAAAGTAACACGCGTCACCCCGTCCTCCGCTTCTTTCCTATTAACGATCGTCGATAAAGAAATAACAAAAAAGAGAAAAGAAAAGAAAACACTTACATTCGTTTCGACCGCTTCTGAAAAAAACAGTTCCTAATTCATCTATAAATACGTTTTGCTCGAATGAAAATGACCGATGTACGACGGAGAAGGTGACGGCACGGTTATCTTTTTCAATTGCACCCTCGAACTGGTGGCTGAGCAAAAATTTTTTTTCCCGTCGAGGGGACGCGAGAAGAAAAGCGACGTGGGGTGAGACTCGTCAAGTGATGTAGAATAGTAGAGATATATCGTGGCGTAATATGCAAAGCGGATCGGATGTACCCGGCGGGGGGTGAAAGCGGTAGCCAAGGGGTGATTAGCGGGACAAAAGCTGGCGCCGCTACAAGTGGAACCAAATTGGTAGAAAATTGATAATCAACCGCCAATATCAACCTCCATTGGGAACCGCGTGGCTCGTTATGCTCGGGAAGAGGGCAAAGGATTACGCGGAAACACGCGCGAAATATTTGTTCTCGAAATAATAAAAGGCGGACAGAGTACGATATCTCGTATCGAACACTCTCTGCGTGTCTCTTGGAAACGTGTCGTTTTACGCGATTATATCTAAACTTATATAACTTGGTGGCGAATTTCTGGAAAATTGTACATTGTGTTTCAGAAGCAAGAAGACCTGCTGCGTACGGAACGATGGAGAGCGAAAGAAAAATTGAATAGCGAGGGAAAGGGATGAAGAGAACGATTGGGTAAGGAGTCAAGACGGGCCGCTGTGAATGGAACACGTGTACGGTGTCACATCTATCTGAAAAGTTCATCGTTACAAAAAGATCTCTTGAAAGAGTTTCCTAGAATGTGAGCTATCTCTCCGGGGCCATGGTGGCGAGTGTGTAATCGAAGGAATCGTAGAACACTTTTCTCATGCAAATACACGCGATGCGGGGCCCCGGAGTAAAGGACAACGAACTTCTTCGCTCTGCTTAAAACTTCCAACTTAGGTCCTTTTAAATTTAAATGCTTTTTTCCCCCTCCACGCTCGCACTCTCGAGCCAGCCGTGCAGGCGTTCTTCTTCCACCCCGTCGATGTCGCGAAGACGACGATGAAAAAAGGAGGAAAGAAACGAAACGATAATTTTACGAGAGAGAACCGTCGTCGAGCTACACACTTTTTTACAATTTGAATAACATTTGTTACATATTCGGAAAACTATGATAACGCATTTGGAAAATAGTTTCCAGGGGAACGGTAAAAATTGGATCAGCCTAGGCGAGGGAAATTTTCCATCATTTTCCCCGCACACCTCGCGCCGCGTCATTGTTTTCCAAACGGTGGGTGAAATTTTACAACGTCCATAAAAGATCGAACGCCGGGTATTCACGCTTTGGTAATTATTGAAACGAATAAAATTTTCACTCTGTACGTAATAATAAGCGGCTGAAACGAATATACCCCGTAATAATTACGAAAACGTGCGCTGGAATCGTAGTAATGCCGGGGGTAGGGGAACGTATCAAAAATTATTATTTGCCGCGCGATGTCCAATGACCAGAAAAATATTTGCCTATAACACGCTTGGTGGCTGGTCGTGTGCTCGACGCTGGCTGCCTCGATGCGATCGCCAATTTGAAATTCGAATTATTATAATTACGGTGCCCGATTAAAAATGAGAAGGCGAGAGAGAGAGAGAGAGAGAGTGGGGGGGGGGGGGAGGGACGCGTAACCTCCGCTGTTCGATGATATAATTATAAAGAGTTACATGGTAGAATGCGTCTACGAGCTTCGCTTATTAAACCGAAAATTTCATGCGCATTAAATTAAGAATAGATTGTATGCATTATCATGTACACATCCCGCAGATATTTTTCCCTGTTGAATAAAAAAAAAAAAAAACGAGAGAAAAAAAGAGGAAAAAAATTGAAAGGAGAAAACGATGGAAAAAATAACGAATGAATGGAAGAACTTGAATCACCCTGTACGCGTAACGCGAAACATTTCTTTTTTTCTATAGCATAGGTATACACTCTACCGAGGATCTCGGATATCGATATTTTAAAATGCGGGATATTTTTTTAATGGGGCGGCAAGCGCGTTAATACGCGTACACGCGGAATCAGGATTCCGCGAAAGGAGGGAGAGAGAAGAGGATGAAACGAGGGCGGGAGAAGGAGAAGCTTGTGGCGTCCACGTGGACGTGGCATCGCGGTTCCCGTGGTTAGGAGAGAGAACGAGAGTGACAAGGTAGAAGAGAAGAGTTATTAAAATGTAAATATGAATCGACAATCTGTAACCCAGCGCGTCGCGTTAAGCACGTGTGCGCTGCCGTGTAGATAAACGTGCCCCGAATATTCGCGAGCGCGCGATCACGCCTCGTAAATGGGCTCTCGACTTGAAAAACTTATTTTCGACCAACTTTTTTTTCTTTTCTTTTTTTTTTATCGCCGACAATTCGTCGTAACAGCGCGGAATCGTCAAGGTTTTGCCATTCAACATTTTCACGCTTCATCTGGTTTCCCGCTTAAAAGCTTTTCACACCGATTCGCGTGAATTGAAAAGAAATTAACGCTCGGCGATTTTCTGTTCGATTGCATCGTCACAACGGAGTGCAAGGTCGTGGAAATTTTTTAACAATCACTTTCGATACGTAGTTTCACGGTTGATCGTTATTATCTCAAGCGGTTAACTAATTGTTCGGATTTTTGGCGAAGCGTAGGATTAGCGAGAAATACCGAATAGCTGGCAAAACCCGTGGAACATTATTCGAATCTGTTGGGAATAAAAATTCCTCGGCGTTCTGCTTCTGTTTTTTACGGTGGCAGCCATAAATTTTTCCTCTCATCCCAGCTTTCACCCGATCTCTCTTTTTCCCTCTGTCGACCGGCTTTACAGATTTATGGACTTATAGATTCTTTCTTCTGCTTCTTTTCCATCCCTTGGATTTCGCAGAGAGTTGAAATCTCGAATCCCTCCTGTTCCCCACAGTTCTCCGCTTACATTCGCTCAACCTGCGAATTATATAGACACGTTTCCCTCGGTATTTCCTCGATTATCGCACCTTCTCCGCAGCGTAGGAAATCTCAAGGAACATTAATCCCAGAGATCTTCTTTTTTTATCCTCATTAACGTGTAACGATAATTGCTACTTTTATTAAGGATAAATCTTCCGTGGAAGAGAAAGAAAGATTTTTTCTTTTTTTCTTCCAAGTAGCAATAAAGCGTAGCTTGGCCATGCAATTATATCCCATCCGGGTGGAAGCATCGAAAACGAAATCCCATGGGATGACAGTAACCACAGGCGGTTCCTTTCCATGCCCGACGGAATCTCATTCTTCGTCCCCTTTGCTGCCAGAGCATCCCCGGCCGAGAGAGGGTCCTCCTCGACTCTCTCTCGCTCTTTCTCCGTTTCCCTCCCGTCCGTTGATTGCTCTCTCGCGCCGCAGCGGCGGCCGCGATAGCTCATAAATATTCAATGGCCACGCGGCCAAGATAAACTAATTAAAACTTAGATCTCGGTAGTCACTTTAGATTTTTACTTACACAAGAAGCATTTCAGCGCGGCCTGGCCGGCCGGAAAAAAAGTCTACACGGTGCCGCGAATCCGATTCGACTGTTCGCGGCGGCGACCAGCACGCCAGGAAGCTCCAAGAGGAGGGTAAGGGACCAGACCGCCGCCTTCCAGGCAAAAGGACGCGCAAAGAAAGCTTTACTCTGTACTTCTCATTAAGGAAACCACGCTTTCTTTTCTCCCCCCTTCCCTCTTCCTCGCTCTCTCTCTCTCTCTCTCTCTCTCTCTCTCTCTCTCTCTTCTTTGCCTTATAGCCTCTTTCGTCTTACCGAAGGGCGCACGTTCATCCCCCTTTCGCCGGTGCGCTTCTCCTTCTGTTTCTCCACGCGATGTTCGAGCCTTAACGAGTGCCCCGAAAGAAATACGATTGGAACCGCCGCGTAAAATGCTCATTGTCCTCTTAAATTCGACGAGGACCAAATGAAAATCACCGCTATTTATATGTCTTGGAATATTTCCTACGTTAAAACAGAAAGGAGTATATCTAATATAGAGAGAGAATGGGGGATATCCATATCTTCGGGGGGATAGCTTCGAGTCGGTAAATGCTTTCTCAAGTCATGAGAACAAAACACTCTCGAGATACAAATATGCGCGTACGATAATAAGCGTAGAATTACCTGGCCGCGTAGGTGTCATTATCCACGGCATCTCACGATGAAATTTCTCATGAGCACCTAGAGCAACAACACTTGGATTATTTCTCCGAATCGCGGAGTGGAAAATCGTTTCCACTTAGTGGGAAAATATTCTCGACGATTTTACGCCAGCAAATGAGTCACGGATAGCTGAATCGAACGATTTCGTCTCTATCTGGTGGAAGTTCCTTCTGGAAGAGAGGTTCGTCCCGTGGCCTGGTCACGCTAGTCACTTGCAATATCGCTCGCGATCGATACGAGATCCGTGAATAATCGCGCGTCGGTTTCTTTAACGTCTCCGTCGCTAACGAAATGATTTATTAGCGGCGCGGGAAAGTGCAGTCTCACGTTCGATCAAGCGTGTACTAGTTTTTTCGCAACCGCGCGAATTTCTTTTTCCACGCGCCGCTCGAGAAGGGGTTGCGGAAAATTGAGTTTAACGAGGTCTGTTCCGATGATGATTGCTGGGCGAAAATAGGATGGTAACAACCCCCCGAAGACGCGGGCAGAGATCGGTCGATCCTTCGTTAGAAATTCCACGCAATCATATTCGAGCAAATAATTCGTTAGGCCCTCGTTCCGCGGCCTGTTCGTTAGTATAATTAAAATAAATTCAAATGACTTTCTTGTCCCTCGTCTTTGGTGCTCTCACCGGCTTTCTCCGTTCTTCCCTCCCCCTCCCCCTCTCTGCTACTCTTTCTCTTGTCCTTCTTAAATCCGTTGATTAGTGCAAAAATCCGCTTACAAATTAAGCGAGGCGCACCGAACTCCCTCGAGGACGCCGTCGCAAGACGAAGGAGAGGAACATTCTCCTAACTCCCCTGGGTGGAGGAGCTGTGGAGGAAGAAAGAAGGAGCGGCTGCAAGGGAGAGAGGTAAAAGAAGGGTGAGTACTTTAATATCTTAAGTAAACCGGGCTCCGGGATAAGGAAGAAAAAAAAATAAGTCCTGGCAGACGAGAGTTGCGGAAGGAAAGTGGGGGTAAGGGGGTGGTACGCGAAAACATGCGCGACGAATTAAAATACGAACCTGGGGTGGAAAGGAACTGAGCTAAAGCTGAAGTTTCTCGGCGGAAAATATTTGTTTTTTTCTCCAATGCGAGAGATCAACTCTCACGGTCCATACCGAAGGAAGAAAATTCCTCTTAAGCGGAGGATCGAATAAGCAACGTTTTGGAAACCCTTTCCTCCCCGATACTTGGAAGGAGTTCCGTCGAGTTTTAGAGCGTTCATTAGCACTCTCCGCTGTTAATCACCCCTGGTGTGCGAATTGGCAAAAATCATTTGAGGACGCGGTGAAACGTGTCGAAATTCGACAGGTCGGTCCCCTTAAGAGGGCATCGTTAGGGTTGTTCCGATTCCCCGTGACTCATCCGCGTAGGTCTCGATATATCGGCGGGCTCGCACACGCGCCCGATTTCACCATAAAACGTGCACGCTCCACGGTCCCGGTGTGTTTGAATGTGGGCGGGGTGGGTTGCCATTTGCAATGCAAACGATAACACAGCGTATCGCACGAAAACGCGCACACAGACAGAGGTAGAGCA